TTTCTTTCGATTTTCTTTCTCTCTTTTCTTTTCTCGAGAAAGAGAGTGGAGAGAATGAATCGTACGCTATCTTTTGGAATTTATTGATTGCGAATATTGAATTCTTTTATTTTTCGTTCTTCGAGACGGTATTTTAAGTTTATCTGTACTGTCTTGTAAAATTTATTTCGAACGTACGGAACAGTTTCTTATTGTTCGGTCGAGGGACGAAGTAAATTTTTTTAAACGCGCGCGTTGTGGCCGCGAAAGAGAACGGTTCGTTCGCTCGAACGGAACGCTACGATACGCCCGCCACGAGACTTCTTTTCGCACTGACAAGATGCAGCTTCCATTCGGATGTCACGTCACTGTCCGAACCGCCAGTCGTAAACCATTAAACCTCGTTTTCCTCGTACTCCTGGTCTCGCATATCTGTCGTTCGAGCATCTCTCGTAAAGTAAAACGTTAGTAAAAAAACTTTTAATGAACTGTAGCGTTTCAACGATTTTTTATATATATGATAATAAAATTAACTTATACTTATATCGTAAAATTACCGTAAAAAGTTTATTACCATTTCGCGATATATTTATTTACTCTGTTAAAATATATAAAAAATACTTTTCTAATTACCATTTTCAAACTCATCTATCTTTTTATAATTCACATTAAAATTGGTATAGTATGATAAAAAGAAGAAATAACCTATTTTGACACAATCGATCAAAACAATCGCGTTGTCAATTTATTAAAATACATATTTCAAACTCATTTATCCTTTTACGTAATTCACATTAAAATTAATAACTCCGCGATTAATATTTTCTAAAATATTCTTTCGTAATAAAAAAAAGAAGAAGTAATCTATTTTGACACAATCGATCAAAGCAATCGCGTTATCAATTTATTAAAATACGTAAAAAATGCTTTTCTAATTTAAACTCAAATTTACATTAAATCTAGTAACTCCGCGATTAATATTTTCTAAAATATTCTCTCGTAATAAAAAAAAAGAAGAAGTAATCTATTTTGACACAATCGATCAAAGCAATCGCGTTGTCAATTTATTAAAATACGTAAAATACGCTTTTCTAATTCAAACTAAAATTTACATTAAATCTAGTAACTCCGCGACTAATATCTTCTAAAATATTCTCGCGCAATAAGAGAGAGAGAGAGAGAGAAAGAGAAAAAAGGGGGGGTTAGAAATAGCCTATATTTTGACACAATCGATCAAGGCAGTCGCGTTACAAGGATCAAGGGGCGGGATACGAAACTAATCCGTGAAACATGGAGGGGGAGGGGGGGAAACTCTCGGCTGTAAAATATCTCCGTCCATTACCGCAATTTCACCGCGGTTCTAACCGCCTCATATACATATCGAGCGACGTCAGCCCGTAACATACCGAAGTCGTAAAGCTCCCGGGTTGCACGCGGATGGACGGAAAAGAATCCCCGGGTGCCTAATTCGAGATGTTTATCCAAGCGGTGTGTTTCGGTGTTGCCCTCTTAATTCATACCCGCCGCTGTTGTTGCAGCTTAGCCAGCGCCAAATTTATTAAAATCGTTACCGACGCCCGTCGTTCACCAACCGACGAGCGCCCGCGTTATTATTATTACGCCGTCGATACGGCAGCGGAACAACTCCCCTCCACCGCCCTTCTTCCGTCCACCAAGCTTGCCCAAACCGATTGTCTCTCCCCTCTTCTTCCCGCCTCCTCCTTTCTCCTCATTTTTCCTCGGACGATATTTTCGTCGATGCTTTTTTACTTTCAACGAATTTTTCCACGAATTAAATAAATCTTGCTGTACTTATCATTTACTTATCTCTTTTTTTAGAATTTTGGAAACGAAGTTCGTAGGTTAGGGATATTCGTGATCGTGGAACGTGATGTTATATTAATTATTGCATTTCATACTCGATGGAATGGAATCGTTCGATTTCGTTCTATTTAGAGTGGGGAGAGGTAACAATCGGTCGGATGGAGGGAGGACCACCAAGGTTGGAGATTCGGACGGATCCCTTTAAAAGCGTGACAATGCGTAAGAAAAGGCTGGTCGAATCGGCGAATATTCGACCGTTTACGGTGAAGATCTTAGCGTGGGCTGGGGCGCGATCTTATCCAAAGATCGAAAAGGATCGAAATCCTAGGCTAGAATCCCTATTATGTTGGAACGTCAGCCTACGATTTCTCGGTCATTTCATCGGTTATCGCACAATGGGAGACTCGTGTCTTCGTCTGTTCGATCTCCTGTATCGAGACATCTGTGTCAAATTGTCCGTTCCCCATTCTTTTCCCCATTCCCTGGAATTTTCCAATTTAAAATCAATTTACACGGAAGAGGAATTAAGATGAAATATAATTGTAATATATAAACGCAAGCAAGTAAATTTTGCACTCGATTACGAATTAAATGTAAGAAAGAAATGTGGGATTTATTACTTTAATACTGTTATATCCGTAAACGGATGATTGCTCTTCGAACTCGAATCAATCTGAAAAATACACTGAAATTGAAAATATACGCGAAATCAAGAAACCTGTTTATCATAATTATTCATTTTCAAACATCAGTTAGAATCTCTCCAATAATTTAAATTTATTCGACAAAACAAAATCGATCGAAGCGAGATTTTGAAAATTTCTCGTCGAATTAAAATTGAAATCGAAATTCTGAAATTTGACTACTTTAAACCAAGCTTCACAACAACTTCGCTCTCGATATCTCGAGGAGAGAATTCCAAAAGTGTGGAAAGTTGACACGTCGAGGTTGCAAAGGAAAAAAAAGGGAGGGG